GAGGCTGGAGGTGTAGGTGAGGGACCAAAGGTGCTACAATGCTGCCTGGGGAGGTCACTAGGAAAGAAATGCTTTCCTTTCTTATGGTTTTTTCTTGTGTTGTTTGGAGCCTTCCATTTCATCTTTCAGGGCTCTAAAAGTAAGGTTAGGATTTTTCACAGAAGATATCAAGAAGCTTTTTTTTTTTTTTTCTCTTTTCTTTAGTTCTACTGTAGCAGAAAGTAAAATTGAGAAAGAAGACATTTACAGGCTATAATGTCCATGTTTTGCCAAGGTGAATGTTGAAATTTGCAAGTACAGTGTTGCTTTTAGATAGCAAAATGATGACTTCTGATCAATTTTTGTATCATATCAACGTATCAATTTTTGCAGTTACCTCTTAACCAGAAGTAATACAAACAGGTAGAAAGGGGTGGCATGTATTACAGATACTTATGCTTTTGTATGGCTCTCTGGTTCAGTTGAGACATAAGGGCATAAATTTTTATAGCCCTTGGCAGTAAGCTGTTCTGAAAAATTTCTAATCTTTTCCACCTCCTTTGCCAGTTGTCAAAACTATCATGATAATAACTTATTGTATTAGAGAAGGTTAATTTTATAGTTAAAATCCTGGGCTAGAACTCAGGAGGCATGTTTCCATTACTACTTCTGTGGAATGCTCACATGGATTTAGAGTAAGTTGCTAAATCTCTTTGCATCATTTTTTTTATCTACAGATGAGAGAAGGGCCAGATTTTTATATTCTCAGAAGAACATTTGGCTTGTGTCTCAGTGAGAGCATAGGAACAATAACACAATACAAATAGAATTGCTTCTGTCTTGAAAGAAATTCTGTTTTAAACACTGAATTACTGTTTTTACTGTCCTAATTGGCAAGGTGTTCACAATGCTGTGTACACAGAATGTACAGTAAAATGGGCCTCTACCTTGCTTCATGTAATTTCACTTCAGCTTTTGCAAGTCTTTTCTTGTAATTGCTGCTCTGTGACACTAACTGCATGGTAGATTTCTAGTGTTTAAATATTGCAGATCTGAACCTTTTTGTATCCTCGCTTGCCGTATAAATGTGGAGTGAAACCGTCACTGTGGATTATTTGAGGGAATTTTACTAATGAGAATTGCATGAGAATTAAGGCTTCTGAGCTGTCATCTGTCCCATCCCCTTCCCAAGTGCTGGAGGCTACAGGAGCTTCACATTTTGCCGTTGTTTTAAATATCTGACCTATGCTGGCAAGCGATCTTGGGGATAATGTTCTAGGGTCAAATTTTGTAGTCCTTCACGTGTTTGGGCAGTTTTTCTGCTTCTACAAGCAGCATTTGGTCCTCATGTAAAATCTAATCTTTCATGTCCTTCTCATGCAAATGAGCTCAGTTGACTCCAGTGGATCTGCTTTTGCGAATAAGGACTGAGTTGTGGCAGTGCATCTTTAGGCTGTGAGTTCCAAGCTACTGGATTTGGGGTTTCTCTTACATATGTTGAATACAAAGTTCATAGGTGCTGGGATTCTCACAGGACAATCGGGGGGAAAAAAATGAGAATGTTGTGAATGAACAGTAATTGAAAGTGTGAAAGCTGTTTGTGTGTTGCATGAAGGTGGTCACCTATAGCCCTCACTAACACGATGGTGTAACTAGAGCTCTGTGAACTTTGAAAACACTGTTTAGTTGCTGACATTACGGTGGTAAAGTATGTTTAGCATGATCTCTGCTCCTTGGTTATTAAGGACACTGGTACAGTTTTTGGGTGTGAATAAGAGACTTGGGAAAGAATGCCTTGCAGTGCATCCCACTCCTGAAACTGGAGCAGTGGATATTTGTGTAGAAGAGCAACAGACACAAATGCTTGGTTTGGTTTGTGCAAATGAGAAGGCCTTTGTGATGCAAAGCAGCATCCTGAGAAGGCAAATGTGCTTTCTGGTTGTAAATATCCCAGCTAAATACTGCAGTAATTGCAAGCAGAGCTTGGCATTTTTCCTCTCTATTCTCTTCATCGTTATATTTTAACAAGTTCTCATGAGACTATTAAAACGTCTCAGTTTTTGGAACATGTGGCCTAGTGGGGATAACTCTGCCTACAGAGGCAGTGGGTTGGCAGCTCGATTTTGCATGTCCTTTCATTTCCCTCCAGATCCTGTGACCCAGTGTAACCTCTCGTCTCCCTCTGAAGGCCGGGGTGAAGGAAGTATGAGCAGGTGACTGATGATCACTGTCAGTACAGCCTGCAGACAATATGGGAATTACTTTAGCAGTCTCCCACTCCTTGCGCTCCCCCCATCCTCTCTTAAACCAACAAATGCAAATAGCAGCCTCCTCATTTGCTGCTATCTCTGGGAGGCTGCCTAGGCAGCATGGGCTTTGTTGCAGTCTTGCCTATTGAAAACAGCAGCTCCAGCCCTAGGCAGAAGGAAAGATACCAAATGGGACCTGACCCCCCCTTAATGGTTAAGGCTGCTAATATTTGGTCCTCTGGTGTATAAAGGTAGGAAGCTGTTGAGATGAGGGTACTTGATGTGTGCAGTTCAAGAGCGCAGCCTGGAGCGGCTGGAGCTGTTTCTGTTGTAGCTCTTTGTTTGGTAAATGCCCTTCTGGAAGGGAGTAGGGGTTCCCCAGCGTCCCGGAGCTCATACCTGTGCTCCCTGAACTTGTTGACGTTACAATTGGATGTGTATTTAACCTTAGCTGTGTCTTGCCTCTGTGAGAACAGAAATGCATTTGCTAGATTGCAGCATACGTCAAGGCACAAAGAATTTGTAAAACATTTCTTCATGAGGTCATGATTGTTTTGTTAAAGACGTAGCTGTGTGGCATAAATAAATAAAAATAGCCTAATTTTACATTGATGTAAGCATAATACAGGATGCAATATGTAGTACTGTATTGTACAGCATACAGTTGATATTGTTTTGCTTTCCAAATGTACAGCTTAAGTCGTCATTAAGCAATTCAGAGACGTAAGAGTAATGCTATGCCACATTTACTTAAAATTATGTTCATCTTATTTTAAGCTGCTATTGCATATGAAAATAAGTTTTGGCATGCATAAATAGAAGGAATATGATTGCTTCGCACATCCAGAAGGTGGTCCTTCTCAGATACCTAGGGATATCATGTCTGTATTTGATGTATTAGGATTGCAACCAGCCATAATGAAGAGATTTCTTCTGAACTGCCATTTAGGAATATTAGATTAGTAACCAAATCAGACAAATAGCAATGTATATAAATGCTCCTACAGCTTTAAAAATGTGTGTCAGTAGTGCTTGTATTTTATCAGAAGTCTGTTGGCAGTGTGTGCTTCATCTTACTGTGACATTTTCTTTATTGCAAATACTTAATAATGGTTAACTCCTGAATAAAAATTCAGAGTTAAAGTAACAGTTGCAAGTCTAGGTGCTAGGCTGTTAAGTTGAGTATCACTGGTAGAGCTAAACTTTAAAGCTGTTACTCGATCTTTAGGTATGTTCGTTTCTAAAGATCTCATGTCAAATATATCTTTTGAGTTTTATTTCGTGTTTTATTTGCTTACCAGAGAACCTCAACATACCAATGTTTTGTGAATTGGAATATTTCATCTAAAAATCCAGGAAATTAACTACTAGAAACCCTCTATGCTGCACTTGGAGTCAGCAGTAGCACTTTGGATGAAGCATTGGTGACTGGCACAGTCAAAGCCCACTTGAACTCAAACTTGCAATACCTCTAAGTTGTGCCACATCAAGTTCATAGCATTTAAAGTTAAGGTTAATCACAAGAGTTGCATCATCAGTGAGATGCAAAAGGCTGTGGTAGGGAGAATGTGATGCTAGAAAGCTATCTAATTTTACTGTAAAGGCTTCAAATGATTTCAAACATGTTGTGGGTTCCTTTCCCCTACCTCTTGAAACAAGTGTGGTCTAATGTCATACAAATCTCTGCTTTTCATCTGCTACCTCTTCTGCAATTTATGCATCCATCTGCCTGCCAGCAATCAGGCCAGCAAACGAAAATATTTGTTGGAGTTTTGGATTTAGTAATTTCTTTTTGCTGGTTGCAGATGCTGCTGTAGCGTGGTGCAGTACCTCTCTTCACTGAGGATACATCCTTATCTATAGGTTTTGCATGGCATCCTTCTGGTGTTTTAATCCGTTCATTGCTAAGGGAATTGTTAAAATAAAATCATCGTTATTGCTTCAGAGAAGAGCGAGTTGGGTGGAAAAGGTGGCTAACTAAGAAGTTTCATTCAATGAAATCTGATTACATCTTGCAGCTTCACACCAGATTATGCTATCAGTCAGATCATACACACGTTAGATCAATTTTCTATTGGGATGGGAGATTCAACAGAGAACCATGTCAGCGTTAAAAATTGTAGTTTGTGTTTCATTTTTGGAAGTCGTTCTTCCAAATAAAATTTTAAGTCTGGATGGCTCCAGGTAGAAAAGAAATCTGAGTATAGTAATGTGAACTTAACTTTCTAAACTGGCATCTCAGACAAATGCTCATGAATTATACTTTGCCTATCATCAGTTTCTCCTCTTCAGTGGGGTGATTTTCTTTGCTGCTCAAAATCAGTTTGTAGCTCCCAAGAAGTAGTTGGCATATCTTGTAATTGTGGAAACTGCTCTTCAAGGAGAGTGGATGTATTTTGGGCAGTATAATTTGTGAAGCGTTTTGAAGGCCTTCTTGATGAATGGCACTTTATAAATATCGTAAATAAATTATGGGAAGCATTTTTAAGGTGAGTGGATTAATTATTTTTTCTATTTTTATTTGTATGTTTTCTCTTAGGAAAGTCCCTCTGCAAGAATGAGTACGAGAAATTATCTCTTTGGCTTTAATGAAGTTATATAGTTTCATGCCAACCACTTGAGTTCAAAATATCCAAGTATATTTCTTTTACAATGTAAATTGTGCACTACATTTTAAATTTTTTTTTAAGCCTTTGTTAGAGAAGTTACTTTCCATCGTTCATTTTGAGGTTTTTTTTCCCCCCCTACCCTTTTGTTTTTGTTTTTCCTCAGTTTCCATTACAAAGAGCAGTGCAAAAATCCAATCTTCCCCTTCCAAAGTGACCCGGCGTTCAATGCAGTCTCCACAGAAACCTGCTCCAGTACCACCGCAGCGGGGCAGGAAACCAGGTCGGGGCAAACCCCCTGTACAGTCTGCAGTTCCCAAGAAGGGCAGGTCTCCTAAAAATATTCCCCTGACAAAAAGCACCTCTCATACTGAAAATCTTAAAACAAGGAAAAAAAGTTTAAAACCTGGAAAAAAGGTTAGTCCTCGTCTACTACTTTACTTTATATTGCAAAATTTTGTAGTGAGATTTTCTGAATTATTTAATTTTGTGTCTTCAGCCTTCAGGGCTTTACTGTTTTCATCAATTGATTACAAGAAAAGGTCTAGAATAGGGATTCTGGAATATTTCAGTATAAACTTCTGTGGATTATTTTATTCCAGAACAAGACTACTAATTTACTTATGGGTGAGTTGTTGGTGTTGAAAAATACTATTCTAGAATAGCGTTTTCCAGTAACATGACAAGAACCAGGGAAGCCTTTAGGCTTTTTAGTCTGGGTGGGTTATTTTGTTACTGAACCATATGTATAGTTTGCATAATTTTTATCAGTATAAAATTTTTTTGGTTTGTGTTTAGAAACAGATGATTAGGAACAGTGAGGACTTTGTTGCAGAATTTAGGCATCTTAGGCATACAGCTGAATTTGCAAAATGAATCTCCCTAATCCTGGAGGCAGCATGAGGCAGGAAGCTTCTCTCCAGGCAGTACTTTTCACCAGGTGTGGGCCTAATTCTGCCCTGGTCTGGAAGACATGATGCCTTTCTTCTTTTCTCTCTGCCAAGCCAAGTCAGACCTGGAGTGCTGGCAGCTGCCTCCAGCTTCAGCTCCTCTGGAGCTCTTTGATCAGGTACAAACTGGCACTGCTGTAACCCTCCATTTCCACTCCCATGTGACACCAGCGCTGGTGGGTAAACAGTCCCAGAATGAGACAGTTCTTGGAGTTAAACTGGCAGACAACTAACCCAGCATCCATCCCTCTTGCTTCCTTCTTTGCTCGACACCAAAACACAAATACTGCAGCTGCTGTGAGGAGGAATAGGATGACAGCAGGGCAGATTTAGGGGGACTTGAATTGCTGTGGAAGTACCATCTATTTTCTGATGCTTTTTCACCCACTGCAGGCTGTCAAAGAGAAGCAGCAATCTTGCAGTGTCGTTTCCCAGACAATTTGCCTGCCCCTGTGCTCCTCCCTCTTTTCGTTAGCACAAATAAGGGAGTGGAGGGCTTTGGAGATTTTTTGTTTGTTGTGTTGTTGTTTGTTTGTTTTTTTCCTCCCCCACCCCCAAATTTCAAAAAGTTGAAATTTTGGGGGTTTTCTCCTCCATTTTGGGTCGCTGTAGGCTGTGGCATCTATTGCTAGCAATGTGTGGGAATGATGGAGTAATGGCACAGTTAGGACTTCTCCCTGATCAGCGTAAAGTCCTAGTGAAGTAACATTAGTAGAGCATACCCAGAAGGCTCTAGCACTAAACTGGAAACAGGCACTTTTTTTATTGTTGAAATGATGACCACAAGATAAGAAATTATTCTGGGGACCAGAAACTGAAAGCTGAGAGCTGTCTCCTCTGCTGCCTGCCCCTGCCAGTTGGGCATCCAAACTGGTAGGCTACTGATACAAGTGGTGTCCAGCTTTATCTCTTGCTTGGTGTGTAAAAATGCACAGACATTAAAGAGGAGAAAGATGCTCCCATCCAGACTCAGGTGGGGGATAGGGTGTTCTCCATAAGTTTAGGGGACTTTAAAGGAGAGCATTGAACACAGGACTTTTGTATCTTAAGGCTGTACTCAGGTATGGCAGGATGCACACTTTCATGTAAGAATTTTGTCCTCTTTCTCATGAAGAAGAAATTGAGAGGCTTTGTGTATCCTTTGGAATATTTGAAGGAATCTCACCCTTAGGGGGGAGGCTTCTGGGCTCTGAAAGCTGGGTGTCTGAAAGTATCTGCTTGGATCACTGCATTTGGCACCTGGTCTGTGTGAGGTACATGGGGGGATTTGCTTGGGGAATGGGGGCCACTCCTGACACTGTTGTGGTTTGAGGCTTGGAATGGGGGCGTGACCTTCCAGCAACTGGGAGGACCCCGGGTGGGTGTGAAACCATTGTATTCCCTCCCCTTCCCACACACACTCTGATAAGAGGCAGGGAGTGGTTTCTTGTTTCACTCCTGCCTTGGAGCTCGGAGAGGAAAGTTCTCCTTTCACTCCGTGGGACCCTGGAACCATTTCTGAGGGTTTTGTATATTTTATTTTTTGTATTATTCCCCTAATCTTTGTATATATTATTTTCCTTACCTCCCTTTTTCATTTTCTGTTCCTTGTTGAACAATATACTTTCATTTTTTTTTCAAAAGTGTCTCTCTCTCGCTCTCAAGGGGGGGGGAGAGGCGAGTACATAGTTCTGTTCTGTGTGGGTCCTGCCCTGAACCCCTTTTTACACGGAACCAGAACACACTCCCTGTCTTGAGGCAGTCAGTCTGAGGTACATCCATGTGCTCCTGGTTTCCTCTGTGGGACCAGGCAACTCAGAGTTCTATTTTGCAGAATCTAAGTTGGATGTATTTAATTCGGGAGTTTTACTACATTAACTTTTGCATTAAAAACTTTAAAAATTAGCTGCTTTGAGAATCCACAGAAGGTTGGCACATATTGGTTACGTGTTTAAATTGCCAAGGTGTTATAGATAAGTGCAGGCTCTTTGGACTGTTATACCTGTTAGCACAAGGGTGAGGAGAGGAAATGGATTTGTGAGCTCTCTGGACAGGCAGGCTGTAACCAGCGTGTAACCATACGACCTGTACACCTCACAATACGTACACAAATATAACGCAAGTGATACATGCCTAGAGATTTAAAAGTGCTTTTGCTTCCCCCTCTCCCAAGACCAGTCCAAAAAACCCCCCACCAGATTTCAGGCTGATTGTCCTTCAGGTGTGAGCTGGCTATCTGATAGTTCAAAACCTGTGTATTCAGGGAGATTGACCTATGCCTGATGCTCTGTAGAGTTGTTTGACTTTTTTACCCTTTCAAGTTTGTTATGCTGCAATGTTAATCACTGTGCAGGTATCAACTTTTATTATACAGCTGAGAATGTTGAGCTGTTGTGTCATCTTTCTCCTTTATTTGAAAGTTTTCTAAGCTTCTCAGTAAGTATGAGATGCATGTTGTATTTTGTTTTCTGCTTGTCTCCTCCAGTTTGTACTGTATGTTTTCACTCTGTCATAATGAAGAAGAAATCTCTTTAGATCTCTTTTCATTATTTTTAAAAGTGTGCTTTGCAGAACTATGCAAAGAATTCCTCCCAGAATTTCTGGAGGAAGTGCCTTGGTCTGAATGTGGATCACAGCCTTAAATTCGACCCCACAAGCAGAGAGTTTCTAAGTGTCAGGGTAAAGCTTGTGAAATTGGCCATGTGGTGCCAGCCTGTGAGCAATGGTCTCTGCAGGCACATGGAGCTGGCATGCCCTGCCAGCTGGCAGGGGACAGCCCCCAACACCCTGACCAAGCAGATGTGCTGAGGCCTGCTGGGAGCGTGGCTTGCCTTCTCAAACAGCATGGCTTTGGGGTCGCAGTTTGCTCCTTGTCACTTTGGATTTACAAAACGAGAACCTGTGCCGAGCAAGCCTAATGTGCTGCATTTTCAAAACTCACGCTCTTTCCTCCTTCTGAGGGAGAGGGTAGGAACTGGCTGGCTAGCCCCACTGTGCTTCTGTGTTAGCGTGGAGGGCAAATAGTTCCTCTGTCTTGCAGCTGAGTGTATTTCATTGTCACGCCGACATTTCTCTCATTTCCTCCACTTTCTCCTCAGCTCAACCACTTGTATTTTGTAGCACGATGACAGACAACTGCCCACCCCCCGCCAAGAGTCCCTGCTCCAGAGAGGCATTCAGGAATGTCAGATCAAAAGCTCAGACTTCCTCAGTGTGTTTTTATTCTCTGTATTAAGGATGGAGAGAGACCTGTCTGTCACCCAGTGTTAAGATACATAGGCAGTTCCTGCAGTACATCACTGCTCAGTTCAGTGCCTGACCTGAGCCACCTCGTCTCATTCACAATGCAATGCCAGGACTTGGCAGGCCTAGTCCTTATGATCATGGAGATTCTATCCAGTATCATATTGTCCACTAGTTTCTCCAGCCAAACCTATCTTCTCTGAACTGTAAGGGACACAGAAATTTTCTTTAAAGTGCCCTGGGTTTCAGAAGAAAGTTAATTTACTCCTTATCGGTGGGAAGAAGTTATTCGCTCCTGCTCTTAGGAAAGTGTGTATTTTGATTGCTTTCTACATCAATTTTAATATATTTTTTTTGGAAATAAGCTACTTCTAAAAGTGTAAAGAAAGAATACTGCTAAATGGAAGAGAGCTTAGCCTCCTTAGCAACTTGACTGAATTTTCACTTCACTCAAAATCAGTTTTAGCACTAAATCCTTACCACATGAGTAACCAAGTCTCTGTTCCCTTCAGCAGTGTCAAGACTTTGAGTAATCTCTTATTCCTAATTTTTTTTGGTAGGTAAGAGAATGAGAACATAGTCTGTTCTCATGCAAGACTAAATGGTGAAGGGAGATCTGATTGACTTTTCTCCAATTCATTATTGATTACCATGTATTTTCATAGCATGTCAAAGCACTTTAGAAGTGTCTTCCTTGAGCGTGTCTCTTTTCTAAACCTCAGTACAAACTGAATTACAATTAAATTCTCCCTTCCTTAGGTGGAAGGTAATGCACACTGACCAATGTCTAAAACTTTCTGCTGTGAACTCTGGTTTCTGTCATATGATGAGCTGCCAATAGGTTTGGTTTGGGAAAGGAGAAGGTTTTGTCAACCCATGTGACTGGATTATAACTACTGGCTTATTTGATATCTTGCGTAAAGTACTGATTCGTGAAAGTGTTTACATGAGAATTTCAGCTCATTTGGAACAAGCTGAGGGAAAATCTCTGTGCACTGTAAAGCTGACCCCTAAATGCCACTCCAGTTTTATATGGGAATATATACACAGCCCAACTAACTGATTTGAGTTTGGATAAACCCAGATGACTGGAAGTGTACAGACAGGAAAATAATCCAAAGCACCTCTTCTGTGCTTCCTAAGATTTAGAAGCGTCATGCATTAGTATATAAAGCTCATTCTTTTCCCACTCTCCAGATAGAGGTAGGTTCCTTTTTAAGTCGTTTGTCTTCCACTGCCTTACTTGGGTAGCTGTAAATGCAAACTGACAGTTTCTGGTCTTCCTTTCCTGGTCCTTATCTTCTCAGCTGTGAATAGTACTTTTGTAATAGGGAACTACACACATTCAGTAAGATGGTAACTGATAGGAGAAAGATTTTGCTGACTCCTTAAAAAAAATTAAACATTTTGACTTTGGGTTTTTTTCTCTAAGCAGAAAAAAATCTTGCCGGAACAACTGACTCCTGAATCTTCTCCTCATTCCTCTCCTGAGGGGGACAGTGGCACCACACAGGTACCTAAAGATGGAATTAGTTTGTCTGGAGCAGCTGCAGCAGTTATATCCACAGGTAAAAAACACAGAAAAAACACCAAACGTAATGACATTTTTAGTGTGAAATTACTTTCATTTCAAGCAAAGTAGTAGTGTCATTTTATGGAAAATGTGCTACAAATTTATTACTGTAAATCATTATCCAACTGCCTTATTTTTTAAAGCTATTTGTAGGCGCCAGTGTTACTTTGCAGAACTATTAATTTGATGCCTGCATTATAACAAGAAGTACTGGAGCACAGGGGCTTTTGATGTATCTGCTAGTTCTGGCAGTTTGCTCCTGTCTAAAGAAGGAAACTGTAGAGTTATTTTATGTCTGCCCCACCCCTTGATGTATGAAATGAGAATAGCTGTAGCAAAAACCCCATATGATATTCTGATATCATGCAGCCTGTACTGTAATATAAAAAAAGGAAGATTTCATCTCTGTATAGCCTTACATTAAAAGGAACAGCTCAGGCTGTTTAAACCAATTACAGGCAATCAGAGGAAATACATTCCTTCTTTCTCTTATGTTTGCTTGTTTCTGAAATCTAATGAAATGTATCTTTAAAAGGGTTGGCCAAAGAGAAATAAGCTAGTTGATGAATTAACTAATTCAGGAACTTGTAACCCTATAGTGGAACAATTTGTATGTTGTCAACTGAAATCTCAGAATTTTCTAAACTCTGTAAGTTATCATCATTTTATTTGGGGTGCTTTTTTACATTCAAAAACTGGTCTTACAAAAGAATTTGTCAGTCTAACTCCCAGCTTCATTCATGGATGAGGGGGAAAATATGCATGTGTTTCCTAGGAAAAGAAAGCTTTCAGGAGGCAGTTGTTGTTGAGCCCAGACAGAAGATGCTATGAAAACGGTTTGTCTGATTTGTGTCTTTGGTTATTTGTACAAACAGGTTTCCTTCAGTTTGCAGACATCAGAGAATTGAACAGATATGCATGAAGACATAAGATCATTAAAACATTTAAAGAAATACTTACTTAATTTTTACAAATCCAGAGTTTTAACTAAGCCCAAATAATTCTACAGTTCAGAAATATGGCAGTCTTTTTTATAACAGAATACTTAGATTGTCTGCTTAATCACCACAGAGACACATTTTTTCATTAAGCTGTAATAATGTCTTGGGTGCATTCCTGGCCATATGACAGCTAAGGCCAAAAAGAAAAAAATAATCTCCTGTTACGGCTTTTCCCCATGTTTTCCTGCCTTGCTGTTCCTTTTGAAAGAGTTTTACATAGTCTTTATAAAAACGTAATTGCAAAAGTCCTGTTTAATTGGTTTGTGCTAAGCTTTAAGCCACCTTACAGTGTTTCTAAAGTATGTTTATTTTCTTTAGCAAAGAAGGCCAGGTTGTAATGTGGAAACCCTACAGGAGTGGTTCTGGGCTGCTGAAGGTACAGACCTTCAGTAGCCGTTGTACATGCACATGTTAATGCTCTGTGGGTGCTTCAGAATGAGCATCAGTGGTAGGTACATACCACAGGGTTGTCTTTGTTGCAGCTTCTCAAACAGGAGAAAAATAAGGGCAGTGACTTGGTATGGACAGCTTTTTAGAATCATGTCTTTGTAGTTTAGAGTACCTACCTTACTTTATTGGAACTAGTGTCTGAGCAGAGAACAGTCAAAATAACAGATAAGCACAGATTATGACAGCTTTGTTGTGTTAGTGGGCTAGAGAAGGGCTTTAGAGACCAGAAAGAAGTGGGTTTAGGGCCCAGGCAGGAGAACCTCAACAGAAAACAGAGAGAGCGCTTTCTGCCTTGTCCAAAGGTGTGTATACATGCTCAGCACTAAATATGGCTTGTTCTTTTTCAGTGTGTGTTTATGTCAACAAGCATGGAAATTCTGGGCCTCACCTGGATAAGAAGAAGGTTCAGCAGCTTCCAGATCACTTTGGACCAGGTCCTGTCAATGTGGTACTTCAGCAGGCTGTACAGGCTTGTGTGGATTGTGCCTATCAATCTAAAACAGTCTTTGGATTTCTGAAATCTGGCCATCATGGAGGAGAAGTGATAACTGGTATGTGAAGATGCTTTGTTTCTTCTGTTTCTTCACTTGGTTACAAACTTGAGGTAGGGCAGAAGAACTGAAGTAGCTGCAGTGAGTTTATATCACTTTTGTAACTATCTAAGCCCACTCAAGAACATGTATTTGTGAACTCTTTTAGTAACAGAGTACTGGTGGTGTGTGATTTATCTTGTTCTAGGTCCAATTCTTTAAATTAGAATTTAGCAATACCAGTGTTAGATTACACACACAGAGTAGAGATAGATTCTTAGACTAAATAGAGCTCATGCACCTCAATTAGCAGCTGTAGCCAAACATTTATCAAGTAAACTCAGTACAAGTGAAATATCAGCTTTATTAATTCAAGTCACTCACATAATCCTATCTGTGCATAGTATTTGTGTTCTTTATGCCTTAACGGAGTGAAAAGTTTCAAACTAATCTGTTTAGCTCCCAAGCAAGTGATTCCACATGTTAAAGTTGCTGCTTTTTTCCTTTCCCCGTTCCCCAGAACTGTGGCAGTGTTTCAGGTCAGTGTTCATCCACCTATGTCCCCTATTATGGAATAGGTTTATTTCTGCTACATATTAATAGCAAGTCTACAGATAAATTATGTCTATATATCAAAGTGAATAGCTGCTGCTTGACAATTTTTTTCCTTCTAGGCTGGGAAATATTCTATATTGCAGTTAGCACATCAATTCATAATTCCATCACTGGCGGTAAAAAGACTTTGCGTTACTTTAATCTCCTTACATTAACACTAGATGTGAAAGGTGATTAGTGGAATACAGGTTCAATTAAATCCTCATAAAGATGTTGCTGCCTAACAACATTTTAAAAGCAGTGTTTTGACCTGCATAGAGCAGAACTACAGGAAGCCTTGCTTGTGCATGCCCGTGAATTTGTTCATAAAGTGGATGCTGCTTCTCTGCCGTGTGGTAGAAGTTTAATGGCATTGTATAAGTGTGGTTTTGAAACATGTATTGCTTTATTTTTGCAAGACATATGGAAGCTTATTACATTATTAATTCCTTGCTGTAGCTACTTCAGACAAGTCAATTTTCTTGAACAAAATGCAGAGGTGTGGATTGCCAGTATTCTGTTTGTGATGGTTTATCACGAAGGACTAAACTGTAGGCCAGAGGTATATCTGGGCTGTGACCGAGTTGTTGAAAATAGTTATTTCACAGAAGGGACAGAACTGTCAATCTTTATGTAGTTGTGTTTTGTTTACATTCAAAAATCCTGTACAAAGAGGAATTACAGTTCTGCACCTGGCTTCACCCTAAGGCCTGGATTCAGAGAAACCAGCTCTGTACTCCTGGAACTGAGGAAAGTGGCGAGGTGGACTGCTCCTGAAGCAGAGTCCTTGGCCCAGATGACAGAGCTACAAGACCCCCTGTGGGTTTCCAATGTCCTTGAGCTCCTCCCTTCTCATCAGCTTGCCAGACAGGTTGTTGAGAAGTGGGTGAACAAACACTACCTGTCATTTTATCAAAAATTTCTATGTAATGTATTTTGAGAAGCACAAAATGTGACTTAGCTTAATGTAGCACAGCCTACTGTGCATGAAGAACAGGAAAAATACAGTAGAAAAAAAATGAGGAATTACAGAATGAAAATGTGAGAGTTTTCTTGCAGAGTTTTTGTTTGAAAGTGTTTTTGGAGTGTGTTTTGATGTTCGGGGTTTTGTTTTGCAGAAAAAAAGTGCTGCAGCAGGAAATAAGCAAAAAAATCTAAAATCTTTTGTGGAGTAATACTTTTATAATGAGTATTATTCCTACTGTAGGAGGAAACTGTATGATGATGAGGACGTGGATAAAATAATCTTGCTAGAATACACGTGAATAATGAGTGGGTTCTTTTGGTTCAGCTGCCAAAGAAAATAATTGTTTTGAATAGAATAGAATTCAGGATTTTTCCGTCTTTCCTTGCTCAAACAAAAGCACAAACCATTTTATTTTTGCTTGATGCATAAGGTTTCAATTCAGGCAAATATAACTGCAAGGAAATTAAAGGCTTGATTAGCAAGCCCTCTAATGGCGGCGGTGGTGGTGGTGTCAGCCCCTTTTTTCTCCTTGTAGTGCAGAGGCTGTGGCGTTTGGTAGGATGGAATAGACTGAGGCTCAGATAAAGCTTCTCAAGCAGAGAATTAAAATCAGGCTCTTGGGTGAGTTTCTTCACTATCAGACAAACACATTTCTGTGATAGTTTAGCTCTTAGCCTTTCTCCTGGCTTGGATCTGGTGTTTAAAACAGACAATGGAGGGTGAAGAAATGAGAATGACTCTTCATCCTGGGGGCTGGGACTGCATGTGCAAGCTCCAATCCCTGTTTATTTGTCATTAAAGATTGAGGTTGTTGCACCTCAGAAGTACTCCTTTTTATTTTTTTCCCGTAGTATTTATCTGGGAAGTAAGAGTCTTATGTTGTCTGCAAGCAGAGCGGATAGTTGAGCCTGTGGGTCTGGATCCCATACCCTTGATTGGAGTTCATATGGTTGCCCCCAGATATTCAGAGTGCCAAGGAGCTGTGTTTGCACTGAATCTTTATTTGTGGATTTTTCCCATGGTATGTTTTGCTGGGGCAGTCATGTTGCCTTAGCTGTTTCTTGATTTAACCTCAAGACAACTCGAAGATAATATTGTTCTTTTCAATACTGCTTTTCAAAATGAGAAATTAAGGCATGAAGAATAAGCAATTTCCCCAAGGTCATATAAGAAGATCCATAAGACTATTATAAAGCATTTTAAATTTTTGCCATAGCTGACTACTACCTTGCAGTAAATTTGTCAGGAGATCAGGCTGTGCTGATTCTCACAGCCCATTTACTCTCCAAAACTGGTTGAGTTCCAAGCAAAAATTTGCCTTTGGAGACTCCAGCCCCTCTAAACAGCAGGAGGTAGAGGACCGTGTGTCTGGGCCATAAGTGGGACTGTGAATCATTAGGATTTCATTTGAACGTTGGAGCCTGGAAAAAAACGAATGGGCCATGGAAACACATCGGTCCAGACTTTGTCCCTGCAGTGCTGACTCTTAAACTTTAAGCACTTGTATTAGGTTAGTCTGTCGTGAAAGCAGATGAGAGAGGTAGCACATTGTTGATGCTAGCTGGTTAACTTGCATTAGCTCTAATCAGAAGCTTCCTTACATCAACACTGTAAGTAATTGACACTTCTGATTTCCTAAGGAAAATATGGAGATAAAATATGCTAAACTTGGGCATTTTCTTTGGTTTTGTGTATATTATCTGTGTCTTTTTTTTTTTAACACAATATGGAGATGTTCCTTAATTCAGATCTGTGAATACAGGCTTTCTTGTAATTTCTGTTTCTTTTTTTTTATTTAATGCATCTGCTACCAACAAAATGTGATCCTTTAGAGCTCTACTTATTTTGAAATTTGTTTTAACAACAGAAAGCTGCTTGACAGGCTGAAAACCAAAAAGATAAACTGATGCATAAACTTGGTGTTTATGCTGTTTCTTTCTTAAGTTACAAGTTTGTTCCTGTTTTGCTGTCATGTCTTTCTAATCAGAAGTAACTGGAAGTTTCAGCTGATGTAATGGTAATTATTTGTCCATATACTAGTAGTACTGAATCTTTTCAAAATCTTACTGATTTGCACAGGAAAGCTGCAACACTCTGTTTAGGGGCAAGGAAGGAGGTCAAAAGTAAAAGACATAGGCACATGTCTGGACTCTTTGTAATCACTCAGTTTAAAAGACACCAGATCCATTTGTGGCTGTTGTGGTGTCTCTGCCACCTAGTTCCTGATGAAATAAATGGGAGCTTGACCACAGTAGTGTTGACAGCAGGATAGATTTCTTTAGTGATAAAATAGCAAATGGCAAAAAACCCAGTTTCTGTAGTCAGAATTGCAACAGCAGTGGATGTCAGCACATTACCACAAGTATGCTCAGTTCAGTTAGAAACTGAGGGAAACAAAAAACCTTAAAGTTGTTTACTCCACTTTTTTTTTTAGGTTCATTGTTTTTTGTTTTGTTTTGTTTTTTTTGGTTAAGTACAATAAAGGGTCTCTTCTGTGTTATCACTCCTGCAAGCAGGTGGTGGGAAGCCTGCTGTTTTACAAGCAAACAACAGAAATAACACGTAAGATTTTGGAGATGAGGGAATAGTTGTAAGTTTTGTTATACTGGTGTGAAACAAAATTATTTTATTCAAATCAGTTCCCATAGAGAAATTTAAACTGGCTTGGACCCAATGGAAGATAAAATCAGTCCTTTGGATGTAAATCTGTTAAACTAGTAGAATGATTGTTTACTCCTCTCATGTCTTGTGTGGTTTAAATCAAATCGAGGTGTCTTCTCCTTCAGGTTAATGATGGTGTTTTACTATACTTCATGATGCTTGGGGAGCGTTTGACATCATCTTCTTATTCACAGCTTCCTTTGATGGGGAAAAGCATGCCATCAATCTTCCTTCTGTAAACAGCGCGTCGTTCGTCCTGCGCTTCTTGGAGAAACTCTGCCACAGCCTGCAGTGTGATAATCTCTTCAGTAGCCAACCTTTCAGCCCTTACATGGGGTGTGCACATAGTCCTATGGAGTATGACAGGAACAAACCAGGTACTGTTAACTGTTACTTTCAGCTGCTGATATTTTTGAGAAGTGTGGTGACTTTTTCTTCTTTCTGTGACATGAATTGATCGAAATGAATACACTTAAGTTCCTAGTGAATGGGTTGCAGTGTGGTGGTGCTTTGACAGGATGGGGATAGCTCATACCACATGTGCAGAAATCCTTTTGTTCAGCAAACTCCTCCTTGTAGCAGGTTCAGGAAACATCGGTATTGTACCACTGTGATACTGCTAAAGGACCGGCTCAAAATTTCACATTTCATTTGTTACATTTATGTCTGGAACCTAAAATAAGCTTATAAAAAGATACCTATTGACTTGTGAAAAGGGGCTTACCCTGAAAGGGGATTCAGTCTAGCCCTTCCCAGAGTAGTAAAAGATCCTTTCTTCTTTATTCACCTTACTCAGTGCTGGCTTCAAAAATTTTACATTCTACCATGTATAGTCCAGTCTTGTAGTAGAAAAGGTGAGTTTTGCAGGTGGCTGCATGTGCTATTTTGTACAAGGCAAATATCTTTGTCGGCTTCACCAGGAACATGGAGAAGGGAGGAAATTAAATTACTTGTGTGAGATCTCCCTCCCATCAGGTTGTTCAACGGGCCTGTTATTAGAAATCCCAGCCCAAGGATTATCAGGAGTCATAGCTGAGAAAACCTTGACGTCAGGGCGATTTCATAAGATTCATGCTGAATGTGAAGCTTCTTCACAACTGTCTGCTAGCTGAGTCTGTCTTCTTCAGAAAATAAAATACTGTTTCCCACCGCCCCTTTCCAGTGGGGAAATTGTGGATAATTCTGTCATATGAAAGTCATTCGTTGTAACTCTTCTCCAAAAAGTGGCCAGAGTCAGGGTAGTTTGCACAATGACAGTATAAATGAAGCTGTACTTCAGCTTCAAAATTTTCTATCAAAATGATTCTCTGTGACACAAGAAACTGAACTGTAACCTGTTGGTTAGCTGATGTATGTCTTTGTTTTTGTCCTTGGACTTTCCCTATGAGCAGCTTTATGCTGGAATAATAGGTGATAACTTTCCTTTTCACAGCAAAAGAAGAAATACCTGAAAACAGGAGCTCTAAACGGTACTCTCAGGACTCTCCACCGTATACTGCTCCTCTTTCCCCTAAGCTTCCCAGAAATGATGCTCATCCATCTGAAGGTAATTACATTATGTCAGGATTATATATGAGGATTATTTATGGTTTCAGTATTTCCAGTAAAAAAGCACTGAGTTCAATGTATGTGTCTGGTTTGTCTCTAGCCTTTGACAGGTCAGGGTGAAAGTATGTTAATTATTGATCACTGGCGCAGATTTTGCACTTAGGGAAGATCTAATGCTGGCTCCAGCAGTCCTCCCCCTAAACCTGCTAGCCTTTTTTGTGAAGGGGCTCAGGCAGATAGGTGAGAGATGAAGCCTCAGGCTTCATATATGGCTATTTAGCAGAAAACCAATTGCCTCAAAATTGATTAGGAGATAAACTGGGAGCAACTCTTAATAACTAGGCTGCAGACATTAAGTGAGTAAGGGTGAAGCTTGGTGATACAATTCAGCTGAGTTCATGGCTAGCTGACACTGAAAATTGTGCTGCTCCTGCTTTCCTTGCCTCCCTTTCCCTGCAGTGGGTTCCAGGCCCCCAGCTGGGTGGCCAGCTGAAGCAGTAAGCAAAAGCACAGAAAACACTTTGGTGAAGAGTAGTTTGCAGTTTACTTCTCTGGGCTGACTCACCGTGGGCTCGGGTGAGTGCAGGGAAGGGCTGAATAGAACGCAGCTGTGGCCAGGGGAGCAGTGAAGCCTCCTTGTGGCAGCTGGATCTTAGATTGCTTTAGCTCGCTGATGAAGAGCACCTTTTCCTGTGCTGCAGCTCAGCTGCAGCTACTGTGCATGTTTCTAGTCCTAGTCTGCCTCAGATGTGAGGTAAAGCATCTAGGTTTAAACCCCAGTGAGAGAGACTTAGAAAAATGTGGAGTTTTTTCACTCACTTGCTACATAACTGATTAAGCCACTCTAACTTGTTGATGTTTATTAGTCCCATTTGATACATTCTCTCCTTGCAAGATATTTACATAGCATTTCCAAAGACTTTTTTTGAAATATAACAGAGATTAGTTATTTCTTCCTTCGTGTTATTTTTTTTCTTCTTTTTGGAGATCCTGGGATCATTTTTTGTCTATTGGCATCAGTGAGGCCAGAATTATAGCTTTTTCTGTGAAGATTAAAAAGTCATAGGACTACAGTCAAAGCAAAAGAGGATATAAAAACATTCAGATTGATGGTGTTTTTAAAATGGTGCATCCTATTATTTTATATATATGTAGTGTGTTCACTTCTTTTTATATAACAGCAGCAGGAAATACAGTTCTGCATTGATTATTGATGTCTGTATTTTTCCAAAAGAAGTACTGGCTTAATTCCACAGCTATATTGTCCACCTAAGTCAGATATTTCTGGTAGGTAATTTAATAATTATGGAGCACTTAATTATACTCAGATTAAGTTTTTTCAGTTAGAACAAAATAAATGTTTGAGTAGATCTGCATTATCTTGCAAGATCTTCCTTAAAGTAAACATGTACGCACATAACATTCTGCTTTTTAATTCTTGTTTTCTAGTGGATCCCTTTTACAGCTGAAGTCAATGTACTCCTTAAAGTACATTTTAAGATCCATAGTTCATTATAAAGTGCAGTTACTTGGATAAAAAAATAATTGAGTGTTTGGCCGTAGTTCCAAAGTTCTGAGTTTGCACTTTGTGGATTTCAAGAGGCAAAGTGTTCTCCAGAGTTGTGTGTTTCCCTTTAGGGCAATGTCCTCTGCTGAAAATCTGGAGGTAATTTTATAGCAGTCAGTCATGGGTTGGTTAGTAAGATCTGCCCCAAAAAAGTTCTGGTTCCATTGAGACATAGTTGTCTTGAACGAGTTGTTTTAAAATATCATTAGAAGGCAAAATGGAATAATTGTGGGAGAGGGTCTTTCAAATGGTTAATTTTCCTTTGAATCCGTTCAGGGATACGTTGTGCAGATTTTACTCTCTTTCCTGCTCACTAACAGCTTCTTCTTGAAGTTATGAAAGATCAAGGAGGGGGGAGTGGGGAAAATCTCGGTCTCCTTCCCCCCGAAAATAGTGTTCTTACTACCGTGGCCGATGACATCATTCCTGTTATACGTATGAGGCAGAACAACTGGCTTCTAATTCCCAGAGGAGCTTCAAGAAAACAAAATGTCTGATTCCTGCTAAGGCCTTCAGTGTTTAAACAGTCTGTCATCCTTACATGTGAAACATAAGGCCTTTTATTGGCCTTTTATTAATCTACGCAGAGATCAGGCATTCTGCAGTGGAACCTCCTGTCTCTTTCCATACCACTGTTCCTCACAACTGCTCAGGGTGCCGAGGTAGGAGAAGTGTGTCATTCATTGCTCCATGGATTGCAGAGTTCCTTTTCATAGATGCCAGTTTTGAATCAGTCATACCAGTTGGCCACTTTTTCAGCAAGATTGTAGCTATGTTTTGTTTGTAGAGAAGCTAGATGGACGGAGAGGGAAGTGGATTGGACAATAGCTGCTGAACAGAAGCACCTTCTCTAAAAGATGATGGCCCTGGGAAATAGGCCAGCTTTTCCCCTTTGTGTATGTGAGCTGAAAATTCACAGTAAGATAAGTCCAAATGTTGCTATCTTGGGGAAATAAAGCAGAGTTTATCTTTCCTAGACCTATTTACTGATGCTTATTTTACGATATATAACATCAGAGAGAAATCTGGGTTGTAATTGGAATAAATACCATGAAATTATGTGGTAATACAGTCAATTTTTTTTTAAAGATGCTGTTGTGGTTTGAGGCTTGGAATGGGGGTGTGACCTTCCAGCAACTGGGAGGACCCCGGGTGGGTGTGAAACCATTGTATTCCCTCCCCTTCCCACACACACTCTGATAAGAGGCAGGGAGTGGTTTCTTATTTCACTCCTGCCTTGGAGCTCGGAGAGGAAAGTTCTCCTTTCACTCCGTGGGACCCTGGAACCATTTCTGAGGGTTTTGTATATTTTATTTTTTGTATTAGTCCCCTAATCTTTGTATATATTATTTTCCTTACCTCCCTTTTTCATTTTCTGTTCCTTGTTGAACAATATACTTCATTTTTTTTTCAATAGTGTCTCTCTCTCGAGAGAGAGAGGGGTGGGAAGAGGCGAGTACATAGTTCTGTTCTGTGTGGGTCCTGCCCTGAACCCCTTTTTACACGGAACCAGGACAGATGCATCTTCATAAATCTTGATAAGGTTACATAAAACAATTCTTTTTTTAAACCCCTGTATTTAGGACCCCTGCTTGTTGACTGTAACTACAGCTATAACTACTATGTGCTTAAATATTGTAGTCAAAGCTTTCTTTTGGGATGTGCTGTCTCCATTGTTTCATCCTACTTTTCAAGACTTCTGAAATCTGAATCTACAGGTTCAGTCAGTTAACCTTTAAGGTCCTTCATGTAGCTTTGCTGTAACTATTTAAAGTATCACCTCTGCTTTTTGGACTGAGATTTCTGCTAGTGGTTTCATTCTTTGCAGTTCTGATTTTCTCTTGGTTGGCTGACGTTTAATTTTATAGTGCTATCATTGACTATGTTTCAAAATCTCTCTGAAATTCTACAGAATGATGCCTTTTACTTTTCGTTTTGATAAATTACTGCAACTGCTTCAAGCTGACAAATGTAAAGAAGTTATTTTTCTTGTTTGTTTTCTTTGAAAACTTCAGTAGCCATTTCTTTGCTTTTGTGATGCAAATCTAACAAACTAGAAAGTTTTTCAGTGGTTGTTTTGAGATTTGTATATGTGAAAGGGAAAGGCTGGTGCCCTTAAAAGCTGCTTTATTCCATGACTATCAATTTTAGTAAGAGATGTTACATTGTCTTGCAGATTTTCCCTTACAGAATTCACTAAGTAGGGAGCTGTGTCTTAGTGCCTTTGTTCCCTTTCAGGATTCTGCTGTCTGAAGACCAAAATACACTTAACAGTTCTTCACTCCACTCCACTTTTAAACAGGTTTCAGCAGAGAACACAAGACATCATGAAGAATGCTTGAGAAGCTCATTGGGGTTTTTAGGAAAATACTCTTCATTTAGTTTTAATTAGGTATTTGTCCAAGAAATTCTTGAAAGTTGTCATATTTAAGAAGGGTAGTAAAAGGCTTATTTCAGGAACTTGTTTTGCAGAACATGCCAGTTCTTATTTCAAGGAATATGCTGCTTCACTAGCATATGTTTTATAATTTCACTAGAGTAATTTTCAAGATGGTAGTGTGGGGTTTACACTTCTGTGAACCTGTTAGCTATATTTTCCATCTCTTAAATCTCCTGCCAAAGCAGCATTTGTTTTGTACAGATTTGTACATCGTGCTTCCAACTTCTTTCTTGGACTAGGTATTGGCCTGATGGAAACAGAGAAGAATACAGATGAATGCTAGAGAAAGGCGTGGAGGTCACATTGATTTGGCTTTTTTTCCCCATCACATAGCATGTTTCTCCCAGTCAGACCTGAGTTCAGTTGACTGAGACTAGAATTTTCAGTCTCCCTTACTGAAAACTGATTTTTAAATTATTTTTTTTTAATGTGCTCATTGGGTTCAGTAATGTACATGTATCTTTAGCTTTCCGGAGTCTGTACTCAGAGACCCTGCCCTGTGCAAAGAACTAACTGTGTGTAGATACAGCTTTGTGACCAAAACATGTCATGGTAGTGTGCTTTACCTGGCACTCACAGCCTTCTGTAACTTGTAGCCTGTCACCTGTTCAATACTGAATGATGGTATCTGTGTCTGAACGTGTTGGGATCTAGAGATGGTAATTGTCCACTTGTTTTGTTTATGAAGTTAGTGAGTCCCTCTGCTGTCCAGAACAAATTAAACAATTGTCAGTTAATGTGATAGATTTTATTTATATTAAAAACTCCTCTCAAGATAAAAGTAGCACACTTTTAGTGGTTAGCTTTTTGGGAATATGTTTGACAAAAGAAAATTAAAATGCTTGACACATCAGTATTAATGTCGGAAAATTTTACCCCCCAAAATTTCCACTGTCTCTTCTCTGTTTGTAGTATTTAACAAATACAACTGAAATTGTGGAAGAGTGTCTCAAACCTGACGTATTAAATCTTTTGCAACAAAAAATGCTTTTAAAATACAGTAAGAGCCAAATGATTACTTGAGGAAAAGGGACAAACATTCAGCAGCCATGATTGTCTCACAGGAGATTTGTTAACAGGTTTACAGGCTGTCAGTATCTTCAAGAGAACATAACAAAGCATTGAATTAACAAAGATATATTGTCCATCACTTTGAACACTGAATATTGGCACTTGCTTTTTGTGTTCAGAAACATTACCTATAGAAGAAAACAGCACTTCCAAAGATCACCGCTTTTCTGAGGACTCCATGGATTCCGCACTTAGTTGTGTAAATCCTTCCAGCCCAGCCCGTCGGAACTCCACGGAACGTCGCGCCTCAGGGGGCGCAGCGTATTACAGACAGTG